ACACTGACCCAGTCAAACCAGGTCATCAGAACACTGACCCAGTCAAACCAGGTCATCAGAACACTGACCCAGTCAAACCAGGTCATCAGAACACTGACCCAGTCAAACTGGGTCCATGGTTTTTGACTGTTGGGTTCAGAGGGGACAGCTGGTCCTCAGAGACTGCAGACTCCTTCAGTAAAGCTGCATCAGACTTTTCTGACACTAGACCTGATTTCTAAGACAACTGGTGGTCCTCACCAGGAACTCGGGACTGCCCTCAGACAGTCGGCCCAGGTCTCCCTCCACCTCAGCCAGGTCCTGGTTTATGCTGTCCAGGTCCACCTGCAGCTTCTTGTACTCCAGATGGTCCCGGTCAAACTCTCGCTTGTAGCTCAGACGCTCGTGTTCGTCAATGATGGATGGAAACAAACTGCAGAGGGTTAAAATGTCAGTGTTAGCAAAATATCTCATCAGTCCGTCAACAGATTGTATCAAAGCTCTCAAAGTTATCGGACTGCTTGATCCAATGGAGGTGAGAGTGGTAGTAGCTGAGCATTACACCTCTTTAACTGATGGRGCCAACACACTTTGTCTGTTAGTAAAATATTTCAACAACCACTGGATAGATTTTAATGAAACTCCTAGAAAGTTAAGTTTTGGAATATTTTTGTGATTATTATCTACAAGTGATTCACTTTTGGAGTCAGTTTGATTATAAATCTGTTTTAAAAAGAACAGTTCTCWGATGTAAAATTCACTTTTAAAGAGACAGCAGGAACAGCTGCTCTGTTTACACACYATCAAAACTACAGCTTCTTTAAAACATTACAATGATCACTTTCACCACACTAGATTCATATATATTTTACGGGTGCAACAATAAAGAAAATTCACGATTCGGTTCGATGTTTTAGTCTCACTTTTGGATATTTTTCCGATAAAAGATAATGTTTCATGCCCTTTTTATTTTGTAATTTTAGTTTAACCTCAAAACTACAGTTTTTAAATTAAATGCTGCTGAAAAAGCAAATTTCTCAGTGGATCTGTGCTCAACAATGCAGCCTAGGTGGAGCAGTGGAACACAGATCCACTGAGCCTTCAGAAGACAAGCTGATAAAGTAAATTTTAAAAATCTGTWTTGTTCCATTCAGGTGCGTATCAAACCTGGAGCACTGTGTGGTTCGATACAGATACATGTATTGTTGCACCTCTAACACACACACACACACACACACACACACACACACACACTCAGTGTCGTTGCATCAGCAGCATGGGACCACTTCAAGTCTTCAGTCTGGCCACGCCCAGTCCTGAGCCTCATTTCAACTGAAGCTGGATCAGCCTCTGGTGTCATTTTCCTCTTTTATTGATTGATAAAGGTATATATTGATTTATTGATATAGGTTGATTCCAAAACCAAACCTCCATGGGATCAAAATGTTGATTTACAGGATTTCATCTTTTTTATGTTATTTTGATCTCCACACTTTCTACAATGTAACAGATAAAGAGCTACAACTGGAATATTTCATTCACTCAGATCTGAGATGTTTTAACTGGTTTTAGTCCAGTTAGTCTGTAAAATATATGTCAAATACATCCTTTGGTAACATTTGCACAATGGTCTATAACATGTAGACACAAGTTCAACCAAAGCTCAGTCCTGGGTCACCGCAGGGACAGCAGTACTTAAAGAGCAACTCACACACTGAAGTCCTCCTCATCCAGGTCATCTCCAGACTCGGCTCCAGTATCGTAGTCCTTCAACCGAGGACTCATCCCCCCAACAGAGCTGCTGATATCTGAGTCCCTGCAGAGACAGATTAGGATCTCAATGTTTAGTTTGAAGCTGTTTCACTTTTTATTCACAGTCATCAACCCACTGAGTCCAATAGAACCAACCGATGAGTGGACAAACAGACGTGTCCACACATGGAGCTGTGGTTCTTTACAGACAAACATGTTAGTTGGACCTGCAACACGCAGCTCACCCTGGCAGGTACAGAGGCTTGGTGTAGTCCGGCTGGTCCAGAAACTCTCTGGAACCTCCAACTTTGTCATTGCGGTCGTTCAGCATCACGTCTGGCTCACCGGACACTTTGCTCACCTGGACACAGAAAACCTCAGCTGTCAAACTAAATACAGGGTCGTACTGTCCTGGAATGACCTTAGACATCCTGACAAGACTTGAAGTGCACAAAATGTTTCAAAAGATGTGAAAACTTGTGGAAAACCTTGGATAGTCTGGAAAGTTTTSAATGAGCTAAAAACGCTTTGAGAAGTTATGTAAAATCTAGAAAAGTTCTGGAAAGCCTTTAAAAGTATTGGAAAGGTCTGGGAAGTTCTGTCAAGCCTCTTTTCCATTCCAATAAAACATGTGTTAAACTTAAGGCTCATGGGCCAAAATCTGGCCATTGTTATCATTTTATCTGGCCTCAGTAGTAAGACTTCAAATGTTGTTGTTGTTTGTATTTAATGCATTCTTCTTATGACAGCTGGCAAACTATCAAATCAAGAAAACTAAGTTTTTTTGTAATCTTTGATTTTGATGCAGAAAGAGCACAGCAGACAAACTTCTTCAGTTTTTATGTCAAGTAATTTGATTATATATGTAGGGGTCACCTCGAGTCAAATTATCAAGGAACTATCTTGGACTCTCAGTCCTCTGATG